ACACACACACACACACACACACACACACACAGACGAGAGAGAGAGACGACGACGACCCCCCCACCCCCACCCACACACACAGCGAGAGAGATAGAGAGAGACCCCCACCACACACACAGTGAGAGAGAGAGAGAGAGACGCCCCCCCTCCCACACACACTTACTCTCTCATATATTTCAGCTCGACATGCGAGACAGTCGCGATGGTGCTGCCTCTATGAACGTGAACAGGAACCTGACGTACTTGGCAGCTACGCTGGGTCACGGCAGGTGGAACAAGCCCTTCTACGACTGCTTCCACGGTGTCTGGGTGGCATCCTACTTCGTGCCGTACTATATGAAGGACTCGCCGACTGCCGACGTCAGATTCGCGTGAGTGCACACGTTATGCTTACGTCAGCGAATTAGCGCGCGAAATTGTCGCGCGGGTTTATGTGACAATGGCGGTTGATTGGTAAAAAAAAACGATATCTCGGGTGCATGCACACCGGCCAAGAATGCGAGCAATATCTTTGCGACACGAGTTTCGTCGCGCTTGACACACATATATGCGACCACGACATGACACATGCATGCATGACGTCACAGCTAATCGTGCACACGGTCGTTCACCTGTCCCTCGGCACACACACTACCGTACATCACGTGATACGCAGACATCATGACCCGCCTAACAAGCATTGTTAACGATTTAATAGCAATAGTATTAGTAAGCATAGCTACGCTTCGCTCATTTAATAAGCACGCTATTTATGTGTCTTCGCAGTGGCGTCGTGGGTTCGGATGTGAAGTTATCCGCTCTAGATATTAACCAGTGCGAGAGCGATCAGCAGAATCCATTCGCCGAGTCGCACCGCTGCGACGATCAGTCTACAATGGTAGGTTATAATTACCGCCTTCAAGCCGCACTACACTCTTTGTATGAGGGCTTTGATGGTAGCAGAAGCAGCAGTGTATACTGCATCGGGCAGTGTAGGCTAGTGGTTGGGCCACCAGTCATTGACTCCAAAAACTGCCTAACGAGTTACGTCGTGATTGGGTTTACGAACTCTAACCCTACCGCTAAATATAACCCTAACCCTAGTCCTACCCCTGACCTTAACGCTAACCCTACCCTTAACCCTATCGCTAACCCTAACCTTAACCCCAACCTTAACCCTTACCCTGACCCTAACACTAACCCTAGCCCTAACCCTAACTCTAATCCTAACGCGAACATTAAACCCCAGTGCCCCTTCCCTGCCCAATAAAAAGCGATCCAGTCATTCCTTACTTCTTGTCGCCCTCTAGGTAAATCAATAGCCCCCAGCGGGCGGTAACGCCCATATTTTGAAACACTAACGTTGGTCATAGGTTAGATATGTTAATGGGAAAAGATGAGACGGGAGGAAGGGATGATCGGTGATTAACAGTGCTAGGGGACACGTGCTTTAAATGCCTGCTGAACGCTGCGGCGGTTCGTGAGTGCGTGCGTGCGTGCGTGCGTGCGTGCGTGCGTGCCTGCGTGCCTGCGTGCATGCGTGCATGTGTGCGTCCGTGCATGCGCGCGTGCGTGCGTGTGTGCGGACGTGCGTGCGTCCGTGCATGCGTGCCTGCGTGCGTCCGTGCATGCGCGCGTGCGTGCGTGCGTGCGGGCGTGCGGGCGTCCGTGCATGCGCGCGTGCGTGCGTGCCTGCGTGCGTGCGTATGTGCGTGTGTGCGTGCGTGAGCACGTGATCACTTCGTGCGTGCGTGCATGCGTGCCTGCGTGCGTGCGTGTGTACGTGTGTGCGTGCGTGAGTATGTGATCACCTCGTGCGTGCGTGGTGCAAGTGTATGTACGTACGCTTATGCGTCTTGTGACATTTTCACGTGAAAGCGAAAGACATTTCTTCTGCTCTTAACAAACGCATTCGTTTGCCTCATTAATGAGCGCAGCCTTAATAATACCGTTATACGGTATCTGTG